GTGTGTGTGTATATATATACATATATATATAGCATTAAAGGCATATATTATATGGAAAATTTATATATAATTTGATATATATAGGGAGTGTGTATATATATACATATTTATATTATATGAAAAATGGTATATAATACCATTAAATTTCACCTCCAAGAACAGGTTGAATTTTAGTATCAAAATGTTCTAAAAACAAGTCAGAAGAATGCTCTGAAAGGACTGCCACAGGTACTTTGCACGGCCCTGGAATGAACTAGAGTCGGAGAAACCATTAGGCAGAAAACAACCGTTTTGCCAGCTGAATTTTTCAGATGGAGCAGTTCCCTGTGCTGCTGCACGAGTGCTTGTTGGCGTAGCCGAAGGAGCATGCCTGGGATGGCTTTGTGACATCTCTTCCCCCTCCCCCCGCCCCAGCTATGCTGTTTATAAAGTATTTAAGTACAGGTCTGTTGTAAGCTGCTGCTACTGTTGCAGTGTCTAAATGGAAGAAGTGTTTGCCATTTTAAAAAAGGAGGGGGGAGGAAAATGGTTTGCCAGTTGGCTGCTCAGACTAATCCATCCCTGGAAAAATTACTCATCTCTGACATCCTATGTAATTCTGACCAGTTATTTCAAAGAAATTTAGGACACTTCTTCCTACATAAATCATATTCTTATAAAATATATATGGTTCTGAGTCTGAAAGTAAGTGGGTAGTCTCTTCCATAGCGCTGTCTGTTTTGTATTGGACCTGTGGGCTTTATGGCCTTTGAAAGGAGTCTGATCCTTAGGAGCTGCCAAGGAAACATGAAATTCAGTCCTCTTCGAGGTGCTGTATCCAGAGTTGCTATTTTTTCTTGGTATTCCATGGGTAGTAATAAATAGCAATGCAAACACAGTGTTGTTGAAACAGTATTTTATTTGGGGGGGAGAGAAATGGCATAGTGGCAGCAGCTGTTTTAATTAGCTATACAAGTACAAACATATTGTTGATTTTGGTACTGTTTCCTTTTAAACAAGGGTTGTATGTAGAGGGGAGGGAGGGAAGGGAACAGCCTTCATTTTAAAAAGGACTTTTACAGGAAACTGCATGTTTTGTGTCTTAAGGGTTATTTTGAAAGCTGCAACATACATAGAAACAGGATAGCGGGTTTTGAAGTGAAAGCCTATGCCAATCCTACAGTAGTTCGGTGTGAAATCCATCACGGCCAGACTGGAGGAATCTATGTTCATGAAAAAGGAAGAGGACAATTCATAGAGAACAAAATCTATGCAAACAACTTTGCAGGTGTTTGGATTACCTCAAACAGTGACCCAACAATAAGGTATCATTTTCCTCATTGATATTTTACTACTTAGAAGAAGATGGGATTGGGAAGAGTACAATTTTATTTCATTTATTTATCATGAACTGTAAATACTCCTATATATGTAAAAATGAAATTGCTGTCTGGTTCAGTTGAACTGCATTTTTAATTTGTGTGGATACTTGGAAGTATGTATTTATGAAAGCAATAGGACATAAATTCTCTGTTTTAAATCTGAATATTGTGCAGTCCTAGACACTAAATACGTGTATAGTATTCTACAGTGTATTACCATAACTTAATAACATGGATGCTTTTGTTTCTTAGGGGTAATGCAATTTTTAATGGGAATCAAGGTGGTGTTTATATCTTTGGAGATGGAAGAGGCCTTATTGAAGGAAATGATATTTATGGTAAGCTAATTTGCTTATTGCATCTTGAATTCTGAGAAAAATGAGTATGTAAGTTGTATTAAATAACATTTTTATTAACAGGTAATGCATTAGCAGGAATACAGATTCGAACAAACAGCTGTCCCATAGTTCGACACAACAAGATCCATGACGGTCAACATGGTGGAATTTATGTAGTAAGTATTGTCTCCAAACAGGCATGCAGACTCCTTTGCTGTTCCTGTAAGTCTTGGAAAAGGAAACTATGTTAAATGTTTGATTGTGCTTATACAATGACTGAATTTCTTATGTTATTATGAGGTTAAGAGTGGAGCTGGTACTAATATTTAAAAGATGAAGGCTCTTATGAATGTCACTAAATTATTTCTACTACAGAGTAAAAAATTTAAAATGAGATAGATGACAGAATTTCACCATTTCTTGGTTAAAAGGTTTTTAAAGGCTTAGTTTTCGTAGTAGTTTGTCATTATTTAAAAAAAAAAAAAAAAAGAAATCTGTTCAGCTTTTCTGGAGTGTGATGTGTTTACCACTAACCTCAGAATTTTTTTTTATTTTTTTTTGCCTTCAGGATGGTAAACTTTGCAATTGCTGTACAGTCATGTTTTGTAAAAGTGAGGAATAAAGCACAGTTTCCAGCGTGTGCAAGGGCTCTGCTAATTGCACTGAAAGAGCTGTCAGGTTCCCTTAAGCAATGTCAGAGTTTTAGAAATATTTGTATATCTTTCTGCCAAAAGTTACTTAAGGTTCAGCTAATGCTGCAAGTGTGCAGTACTATTCATCTATTCGATTCATTTCTTAAATCTCACCAGAAGAGCTTACCCTGTCCAAGAATACTGTTGCTTTCCTTTAAGCATAAACACACGGTAAAGATAATTACCTCGAGAAACATGCCAATTTTTTGTTGGTCTGGCGGACAGGCCTGGGTGTAGGTTTATGTGCCAGGTGCCACAGCTTTCATCTGATGGCATTGGGGAGGTGCCTTTTCTACTGATAGCTAGGAGAGATAAGCAAATGCAGTGGCAGAGCCTTGAAATATAACGATTTACATGCAGAGTATTCTTTGTTTGACAACAAACGTTCAAAATCGAGAGGTACTGTTATTTAAAAAAAAAAAAAAGGTGAAAATATGCACTTGAATAGAAGATAATTACTTCTCTACTTAAAGAAGCCACATTTGGTGGGAGGAGTACAGCCAGAAAAACAGTGCTGGCAGTTAGCAGGTTGTCTCAACTCGTAACTTGTCTTGTATTCAGCACGAAAAAGGACAAGGTGTGATTGAGGAAAATGAAGTTTACAGCAATACTTTGGCTGGAGTCTGGGTGACAACAGGGAGCACTCCAGTCTTAAGGAGAAACAGAATACACAGTGGGAAGCAGGTGAGTTTTGCTCTGTGGTTACAAGGGGACTGTAGAGAAGAAAGTTCTGTGGTTTTGTACTTCATTACTTTGGAACTAATAATTAAATTCTTGATGTGTTAGGTTGGAGTTTATTTTTATGACAATGGACATGGCGTGTTAGAAGACAATGACATCTATAATCACATGTACTCAGGGGTTCAGATAAGGTAAAATGTATTCTGATTTTATGTCAAAACACACGTAGCTTGTTTTGTGCTCTTTTGTGTCTTTTTAACTGTTCTCGTAATTTGTTTCTAAAAATAACTTCTTTGAAATCCAATATGTCTGAATATCCTCTGCTTCAACTTACAAGAAAGTTATTACTATCACAGCCTGGATATTAACTAGTATGTGTGGCCCTTGAAGTCTGTAAAGCTCAAATATGTTTGCATGTTTGGAAATAACTGTGTTTTAGTAAGAATTTTAAGCAGTGAAATCTACGAGGCACTTCTACAGAGGTGTTTTAAACGTTTGGCCTTGGGAGATAATAAACTGTTTTAAGTTACTTCTTTGCTTATGTTTCTCTCCAGAACTGGAAGCAACCCCAAAATTAGACGCAACAAGATCTGGGGTGGTCAGAATGGTGGTATTCTTGTCTATAATTCTGGTAGGTTTGTTTTTCACATTTATCCAGAATTGTGTATATTCTGGATATATATGCTGCATTATCTCTTCCCATTTATTATCCTTTTTGATTTTATTTTTTCCCACCCTTCCTTCAATTTTAGGGCTTGGATTTATAGAAGACAATGAAATTTTTGATAATGCAATGGCTGGTGTATGGATTAAAACAGATAGTAATCCTACACTAAGAAGAAATAAAATCCATGATGGAAGAGATGGAGGCATCTGTATATTTAATGGAGGAAGAGGTAGTTTTTTCCCTTACTGGCATATACTGAATATTCTGGATAAGAGTTTAATTTCAGCTGAAGCAGTGTCCTTTTTAAAGTGCTCTTTAGAAACCTAGCTCTTGTTCTTCTGAAGTAATAAAACAGTTATAACAAACATACACTGATGCTTTTTAGCCTTACTAATTACATCAGTAATACTGAAACCTATGGGAGGCAGAGAGGTAATTAATCTCATGCAAGACGACTGTTAGACTGCGGCTTAGGACAGTCCTTTTATCCCATCTGCTTTTGCAGGCTTTGCCATTTGACTGGGACAGGATTGAATTCAAGTCATGTAGCCAAAGTCTGAACAGTTCGGGTTCTTCTATTTGTCAAAGATTCAGGGGAAAAAAGACACATCTTCAAGGAATCTCTTGTATACTTGTAAATTAAGAAATGGTTCTCTGAAATCCTCTGACTGTTGTGTGTCTTGATAGCCCCTTCTGATATTTTGTAGATAATCACTTGCTGTAAATGAGCTTTAAGTTAAGCATTTTAAAGTAGTCCTGTCCTGCAATAACAAAAATGCAAGTTAAGCTTTGCTTTGGCAGGCTGCTCGTTCCAGAAGACAAGAACAGAAAGATGTTAAAAAAAAAAAAAAAAAAAAATTGAAGGAAAATAGGGAAAGTGAAAAGACTTAGTGTTGCCTCAAAAATAAAACTGAGTTTTCTATAATGGTGCATATGATCCCCAAATTTATTCTGTATACTGAAAAAATAACACACTATTATACACCGAGAATTACTTTAAACTTGTATAACTAAGTGCAGTGCTGTTGGTGACTGTTCTCCAAATGAAGGAATTAGCAGGATGATGATACGTGAGATCTTGTGAAAATATTTCACAGAATGGTTACAGGTAAGGAAATGCTGACAAGCTCAGATGTCACATTTGGTCTGTTGTAGGTCTTCTGGAAGAGAATGATATCTTCAGGAACGCTCAAGCTGGTGTTCTTATCAGCACCAATAGCCACCCTGTGCTAAGGAAAAATCGAATATTTGATGGATTTGCTGCAGGTTTGTGTTGTTTAAATCAAATTTTGAAGTGTTAGAGCTTAGAGTGGGCCCCTCACAAAGCGAACTCTGAGTTTCTTTACCCCACAGTATATAGACATTTTAACAGAGACTGGGATATCCTTCAGTGTATTCTAGAAATAATTTAAGAATTGTAGCTAGAATATATTTAGAGCAGTCTCTGGAATTACTAGCAGGTTGAGATACAACACATTCTGCCTTCTCATTTTTCTGTGAAAGACTTTTTTTATTATTTTATTTTAGAAGTAATTGATAAAGCTGTTTGGGATGTATTTATAGTTGATTTGCTGGATGCTGGTTTGAATATTTTATCACCGCTTTAAAACCTAGAAAGCAGAGCAAACAGACATTTTAAAGAGATTTTAATTGCATCTCAAGTTCAACTTTCTCCAAACTTGAAAAATTATTAAAATGAGAATTTCTTACTCCAAAAGAGATGAAGGTTTAATAGTGATCTCTGTGCAATCTACTGTTTAATGATCATAGTTCCATACATCTTGCGTTCCATTCCATTTAAACTAAAATTGCATTCTTGAGTTTTCTCCCATCTTTCTTTCAGAAGAAGCAAGTTTTCTCAGAAGAGCCTCTAAAGGTGTTGTTTCAGTGTGGTGGGGGGGAAGGATAGGTTGCTATCAAGAGCAGTCCTGGACAAATGACTTGGAAGACACAGGTTACTGATAAAAAGCTAAGACTTAAAGAAATTAATTTTTAGGTGCCCATCTTGAGAACTTTTTTTAAAAAAGATATTTTTAAAAGGGCAAGGTATGTGCAGAAGAACTTTCAAATATACCTGATGACAGGTTTAAGCATCCAAAAATATATCCCTCTTGGAAAATACATGATCATAGTACCATTTTATTATCAGATAAATTAGTAGTGTACTGTTACTACCAGAAACCATGCGTGCCAGCTGTAGCTCTTTGAAAGGATTTAACAGGAGTATTTGAACCTGTTTTGCAGCAAATTACAGTGCACTTTCTAGCTGTGTCATTTTCCTTTTTTCCCCGAGTTTATGGTGGTTTAAAAAAAAAAAAAAAAAAAGAACAAACTAGACACCATGAGAGAGGTACAAATGCACAGTCACTAAGATTTAAATTTCCCACTTTCTTTTCTCTTCTTTGTTTCCCTGACCCAATAAAGGTATTGAAATAACAAATCATGCAACTGCAACATTAGAAGGCAATCAGATTTTCAACAACCGCTTTGGAGGTTTATTTCTAGCATCTGGTGTCAATGTCACGATGAAAGGTGAGCCTGAGCCCTTGTTTGTTGTGTTTGTTCACTTTGCTGCCTTTTTTTTTAATTTGGTGATGGGGTTTGGGTTTATCATACCATTTTTTCATTTTTTTGGCTCAGATTTGTACCACCTTAAGCTGAGTTGTAACTAGGACTTTAATCTGAAGGGAATAAACCAAGTTAAGCTATATTAAATTTTTTTTTTTAGACAGCCAAACACTTTCAAAGGTAACTTAAAGTTCTCCTGCCATATTAAAAATCTGTTACTAGCTCTTCTGTCTCAAAATTGTTTCTGAACTGGTTACTGGTTACTTTGGCACATCTCAAATTCCCCTTCTAAGTTAGTAAAATGGAAAGTCTTTTGTCAGGTATCTGAAAACGGGTGTGCAGCAGAGCAACATGCCTCACTTGGCTTTTGGGATCTAAAAGCATCAATATTCAGAATCCCAAATCACTTTTTTCAGAAAATAGGAAAAATTTGCATACATAAAATTGCCATATATAGTGGGGAAGTGTACATGAGGTAGGATCCTCTTGGAGGAGATGGGAGTGATGGTTTGAATGCCAGACAGCTCCAGGAGGTTTTTCTAGAAGAAAAAGGTTCCGTTGGCAGGATTTTTGCCTGCCTGGCTGTACCTGTTGTGCCTTTCCCTGTGTATTCTTTACAGCACTTAGAACGCAAGCTCTGGCTCCCTGCTTGACAGCTCCGGAGCTTACTGACTCTGTCATCAGTGCTCTGATGCTCCTGGGCGTAGGCAAAAGTTTGAGGTGCACTTTGGGGCTTGACAGGAGATCTAGTAGTTGAGTAAGAGAAGATTATTGAATTTGCTATGCTTTGGGCACATCTTCTACATGCTGGAGGTGGTCAGACCTCATTCCCACTTCTGTTGTGTTGGGAGGTGCCTTATTCTTAAACTCCCCTGGGGAAGAGCCATGGTTCTCTGCTTTCAGAGGGATGTGTAGGAGTCATTATGGTAGATGAGTGGCCTGCAAACATTTGGGTTTCAGACCTCTCAACAGGAAACTTAAGCCTGATTTGAAGGCTTGTTTCTCTAACCATTTTTTCACAAAACAGTTTACAAAGTGTATTTAAGTGAAGGGCTTATCAGGTGTTTTATGCAGTGTGTGCAAAGAGGAGCAATCTTTCTTGTCTGAGGAGCGCACTGCACTGTCTGGGCATCTGCCTTGTAATCTGGCATTGAGGATTTGATATGCCTAAATGCCAAAGCTAAAATGCAGGCACAGAACTAACTGTGCCTTGATGGGTTTAGCTATCTAAAGGAGGGTGGAGCTCTGCTTTAACACCTCAAGGAAAAATATTCATTGATCCAGGTGTCATTAGTTCTTGGCTTTTTTTTTTTTTCCCCCCCAACAGATAACAAAATAATGAACAATCAAGATGCCATAGAAAAAGCTGTCAGTAGAGGCCAGTGTTTATATAAGATATCAAGTTACACCAGCTATCCGATGCATGACTTCTACAGGTAACACCTTCTTTTCTGTCACCTACAGTAAAGTTGTCAAATAAACACAATTTCTCTTCTAGCCAGACCCCTAAAACAGTTGCCATGTTCTGTTAACACACCAACCTGTGCTTTTCCTCACCTGCAACAGCAGGGGATTAAACAAGTTCCCGTTGTCTTGAATTTACTGGGGGCTTGAGGAAAATGTAGTTACCCTGAATCTGAGCCTAAGGGATACGTGGCAGAACTGCTTTTTCAAAACAAGCAACCAAAAGTCTGCCCTGAAATCCAAGTTCACATCACATTCTCAGTTTTAACAGTTTTGCATGCATCCTTTCTTTGGTGTGTTCTGCCCCCACACCTTCCCCAAGCACTTTCCTCAGCTCGCTGTTTTTTGATTCATGCCTAACGTGGTGCCTTTCACTTCAGATGTCACACCTGTAACACCACAGACCGCAATGCCATATGTGTGAACTGCATTAAGAAGTGCCATCAAGGACATGACGTAGAATTCATTAGACACGATAGGTATGTTTCAAAGGAGTACCTTGAGCAATTTTGACAGCACAAGTAAAGCAGAAACTAAAGAGCTCTCTTTCTTCCTAGGTTTTTCTGTGACTGTGGTGCTGGAACACTGTCTAACCCCTGTACGCTTGCTGGAGAGCCTACACATGATACAGATACACTATATGACTCTGCTCCACCTATAGAATCTAATACATTGCAGCACAACTGAATTCCTTTCAGAAAGAAAGTCCTGCCATTCTAATATCATAACTATTAAAACTTTTTTTTTGGAGGAAGTTATACTTGCCCATTTCTGCAGAAAGAGACTGTATTAAAGCGGATGTGTGAGGTGTTGACACTATGGAGCTCAACCTACCAAAAAAGAAAGTGGCAATATGTTGACTCAGGATAACAGAACTGGGCGTTTTAGCATTACTGTGTAAACAAAGACTTTGAAGGGACAGAAGTGAAGAAAAATAAGCTGCAATTTTGTACAGATACCAACTTCTGAAAGCTGGTGTTTTTACAAGTAGCATTGAAACGCAGTCCAATTTGCAGTAGTACTATTCTGTAGACAAGCAGCATTCTTTGTTGCTGCCTTTATGGACATGGGTACCAATTGCTTTTGTAACATGGTAAAAAATGTGAGCTAGCACTTCTGCATTTCTTTTGATTTTTTAACATTTATTCAGATTGAGAAATATGATTTTAATGCTTTAATCTCATGTAGTTTGTTTCTAATTTCAAGCAAAAAAATCTTATTGTACTTGAATGTGTCCTGTTTTGTTAGCACACCTAGACTTGCTGTAACTGTACTCATGTCCCAGTATGTACGTTCTTTCTATGAAAGAGAAAACACTAATCTTAAATTATATCCAGCAATTTTTCTGGTGTCCTCTGAAGTTAGAATAATCTCCTTCCCTGCCCCAGCAATAGTCTGTACTCAAACCACCCTAACAAAAAAAAAAAGCGAGTGTTTTAATGAGACTTCCTAGACTATAATGCACTATAAAACAAAGTACCCATGTAACAAAGTTTTGTGAATGAAATTTTACTATGTTTTAAAGTACACAGTAGAAAGTCTCCTCAAAACAGTCTTGTACTTTACTCTGTTCATAGTTTTTTTTGAACAGTCTGGACATTACTTACATAACCTGCTGGAAATCACAGCAATTTCCTGCTCTAAAGAAGCTGAGACAAGTATATATACAGCCCTATACAGTTTCATAGCTTTTTTCCATTTATGTGTATTGGTGACAGTGGGTAATCAACAGCCTGAAAGTGTATGCATGTACCATAACATCTAGACTTAATATATTGTGGAGTACTCAATAACCATTATGTAGAGGGTAGGTAAGAATTAAAGGGTTTAATTTCCTAGGAAAGACAATGGAAAAATGGTCATTTTTAAAAAATAAAGTTTATTAGATCATAACATTGTCTGATACCACCTTTTTGAGAAACGGCCAGTACAAACGCACTCGTGTTCTTACAGATGGCTGATCATAGTGGTAAGTTTCTGAACAGCATTTGCATCCTGTGTTGCACCATCCACCACCCTGCACAGATACCTGGAGAAAATAATGTTAAGTGAGCTTTACTCATGGTGGACACCAAGGGGGCAGAGCCTAAGCTTCCTGTTCCTTGCACAGCTTTAGAAGATGCAGCTGCTGCCATTTGGTGTCTGGTGTGGAGGTGGCTGACACAGGGGCAGCCACGGGAGTCTGCAGTAGTACTGTAAGGTCCCCCAGTTCCCCCAACACACTGCACAGCAGCACCAGACTTACTCACACCCTCCTTCCGTTTGGCTCAGCTCACAGCCAGCCCAGCACCTCTATGCAAAACAAGCTCTTAGCCCTAGAGACCAGCGCTGTGACCCAAAGCTTAAAACACTGCATTGCTCATCACATCTGCCATCTTGTAATCAGGCTTTAGTACTTTACTGCTCATAAGTACATCTGATGGTCACAAAAAGAGTTTTAACTTTCCCTGCTGCTGTGAGACTATGAGCAAAAGCTACTGCCCAAACTTTAAAATGGATGCCTACTAAACACTGTGCAACTTCAAAATGGAAAACCAAGGCCTTACCTAAATATTCTCAGTGCAATGGTTATTTTTTCAAACTCTTTTGCTTTTCTGTGCCCCTTCTGAATAACTTCCTCTGGAATATTAGCAAGTCTTGCTGCATTGAAGCCATAGCTCTTTGGACATGCTCCTTCAATGAACTTATACAGGAATGTAATTGTTTCCTGGCTTGGATCTTCACTCTCATTTTCAACCATACATGCCTAGAAAGAGTTGAGTTACAAGTCAGTGTATGTAATCTTACAGACTAATAAATGCATGAACCATCACATCCTTTTCTCAGGACACCTCTGTGACGGTGGGTAGAAGAAAAGCAAGCACAGCACGAGTCCTGCCAGCCCCAGGGCCCACTCCCAGCCCCGTGCCCAGCACACACGTACCATGTGGCCCAGGCGCACAGCCGCGCTGTGGGAGTAATCCTCCACCAGCGAGTGGTAGTGGGTGGAGAACAGAGTCCGGCACCCGATCTTCTCCGCAAGTTCCTTCACAACCGCACTCGCTATAGCTGTTCCATCAAAAGTAGCTGTGCCTCTGCCTGGAGAAGAAACAGAAAAGCAAAGACACAGGCAATGCACTCTTTGCTGTGTATCAATTTGCACTGTTTGATTTTCTCCCTCCTTGCTCTGTGGGAGACTGACAAACAGCGATGCACGGTGAGAGCCACCAGCATCAGGGTGAAGTGACCCGAGTATTTGCCCTATAACAATCACCGTCTTCTGCACTGCAGAAAAAGACATTTCTGCTCCCTTGTGACTTGCTACTGGCTTGCTCAAGGTTTGCTGCAATATGCAAAGGAAAGCAGGAAAACTCAGCTAGAAATAGGCTAAATAGGAATTGGGAGGTGGGGGGGGTGTTGTATTAGTTCCCCAGGCACCCAAAAAATACATGTTTTAGAGAAATTTACATAGATACTGACCAGTTAAATATCAGCAACATTAAGATAAAGTTACCCCTGGGTACTTGGTTGCTATTAGACAGCCCAACAGCTAGTCTTTAATCATAGATTTAATTTCCATCTATTACAAAATGGACTAATTACCCAGTTCATCCACAAGAACAAGGGAATGCTGTGTTGCATGCTGGAGAATGCTGGCAGTCTCACTCAGTTCAACAAAGAAGGTACTTTCACCTTTAAAAGAAACAAGATCCGTGAGATATTAGTCAAAGATCTGAAAAGCACAACTAGGACTCCATTTAATCTGCACTTGAGCCTCAGTCAAGCTAAAATGAAGCTTGACTGCAAACTGTGAACAAAAACATGAAGCTTTTTTTTCCAGCATGAAAATGGTGGGGCTCCATTTGCCAGAAAAAGCAGGTTTTGGTCCTAAGGAGTACAGGCATGGGTACAAGTACAGTTAACTGAGTAAATAAGTTGTAGGCCACCTTATCTACTTTTAATAGCACTGGTCAGATGTACCAGCTGGACAAAAAGGTGGGCAGAATCTTTTTGCCTCTTCTTGCTCTTAAATGCACAAGGCAGGCCTAAGGCGTGTGGCTTTCCAGTGTGAAAAAGCGAGCAGAAAACCTTAACGACTAAGAGGCTAGGATGATTGGTTTGGTTCTTCATAAGGTAATTAATTATTCAGATAATTAAGGATGTACTTATATGTACTCTATTTGAGTGAAGTATGACAAAATAAATACACTTGAGTTTCTTTAAAGAAACAGCACATCCTGCAGGAATTCCAGCAACCCAGATAATACAAGGCCTGAAATTTAGACCTGAACTTGTTTTTTTAGCAGATTACAAGCAGAAGTACACAACTATTCAGAGCCTGGCACGCAATAAATCCACATGTCTAAAGTCCAGATTTACTAGTTCTTTGTAGAGCTCACTCCAAATAATCACATGCAGCAGCAATTAATTCCACAGCAGACAAGTATTTACCTCCTCTACTTACACTGCATGAGCACTGCTGTGCTCCAATACGTTTTTTAACATGAATGATTAAGCAGTGTCCAGCAATCCTGATTTCCTGCATTTATTTAAAGACACTTCCAGGACTGAGTATGTTCTTAACAATGCTTAGGAATAACCATGTATTCACTTTATTATATAAACCCCTAAAATTACATAGGCAACTTTAAAATTTTATTACTGAAAAGTTACTTCATAAAAGTGCTGTTGGCATCCATTACAAAAGGACTGACATGGAACAACTTTCACTGTGCTTTCATTTCTAGTGTGGAAACTAATGTGTCAAGAACAGATTTTAAAGGTAGTTCTGCTGTGCAGCATTCAGCCTCATCATGCAGAATGTTAAAACAATTCTCCACATATTTAGAAGAGAAAAGAATAGCTCTCAGTTGATAGAAAAAAGAAGTTTTAAATGCTACGTATTTCTGCAATAGAGAGAGGTGGACTAGAAAGGGCAGTTTTTATTTCTACCATAAGCACTTAAGTACCCTTCCACTCTTAAGATTTCTTTTTGTACTGAAATTAAACACAGGAAAATAGTTGGGCAAAGAAAGCCTGAATAAAAGTATCTAGCTGCAAAGAAAAGCCTTGATTTGGGTAAGTGTTGTTTGGTTTTTTTTAATTAAGAACTCAGAATGATTCATTTCCAAATTCCTTATGTGCAACAAGTTCAGTGGGCTTAACTCCTTTCATATTCACTGACCCATATTTTTCAGCAGAAAGATCACAGCAAATCCGCGCCCTCCTTAAATGAGTTCTGATACTACTCTTATTACCACAAGAAATACTTTTTCTAGCCCATGATGCTTTGCCTGCCACCACAGGCAGACTTTCCCATTCCAGTTGTTGTATCATCTTCCACTTCCATCTTCCTCTCCATGCAAGAAACTAAATACTCCAAGAATTGTCAACTACTGTTTCCAGGAAGGCAGTCTGCCTCTCTCCTTACTGTCTGAAAAAACTGGGTCTCAGACATAAGGCAACAAGGGAGCTCTAGTCCTTGCAAGAAGGTACAAAAACAACTCCTCTAATAACAGCTATCTGAACATCATTGTCCTATTGCAGAACCCTGAGAAAAAGATCAACAGTATCCCAAGAGATATTCCTCAGACATGTATCCAGCTGGAAGGCAGTCTTTTAATATAAAAATTCGTTAAAAAGTGGTCCTGTGTGTCTCAAAAATACTGGAGGACGAGCATATCAAACAAATCAAGCGTAACTACAATCCTGTTTCTACTCTCAACAATGAGACAACAAATTAGTTGCCCAGCTCTCCCTGCAAAATCAACCGACTATCCCTTTCCAACTTGCCACTCAAAGCACGAAAAGAAATTCACTCAGTGGCAAAACCACTTTGGGCAGCTGTATTTCAGAAACTCACCTGACATAATTCTGTCTGAGGCGCCAAGCCTCGTAAATACTCTGTCAGTGGGCGTAAGCCTGCAGACTTCAGCGGGTACGTAGCATCCCAGTTGAGCCATTATAACCAGGAGACCGGCCTGTAGAACAAACATTAACACATTTAAATTTTTACCATGTGCTTGGAGCTTCAGTTCCACACAAGAACGAGGGAATGAATCTGTATTTCCCCTAAAACAAAGACCAGAGTACATAAAGCTTCCTACTGTTTTAACAGCTCCAGGCTGCAGCATCGTCATCTCAAGTAGGACCCCACTACCCTGGAAGCCTTCAAAACACAAGTTATCAGAGCAAGCAGTGTTTATACAGCAAACTCCCTGCTGCTCTCCCAGTTGCCACTGAGCTCTATTTTTAGCTTGTTCAACCTGCAGAAGCACCTTTTCCCAGCTGATACAGAGTCCTGGATAAGGCCACTTGAAAAAGATAAAAGATACTCTTATCACTTCTTCCCAACCATCTCTCATAAAAGAAATAAATCTTACTCCTCACTAAACTAAGTGTAAGTAGAAAATCTACTATCTAAATGTGGGTGTTTTCTACCAATTATATTTTGTCTTTACAGTATAATTGCTGCACACCCTGAAGACCACTGCTGGGACCTCCTTTGATGTTTATAAACAGTTAAGTAATATAATTCCTCTACAAAACACAGAGGTACTCTGGAACATTCAATCTTACATAGATGGTCAATCACCTGTCTCATGAGCGTAGATTTGCCACCCATATTCGGGCCAGTTACTAACACACAGGAAGCTTCACTACCGCCATCCTCATCTTTGCTGCCTATCACGATGTCATTAGGAATAAAATCGTCCCCAAAGAAAGTTTTTGTAATGCATGGATGGCGTGAATTTTTAAGTTCCAGGAAGGGAGAAGCACTATCCACAGGCAGTAGAATTACAGGTCGGCACAGTGGTCCATCACCATCTTGACTGTAGTTAGCAAGGGACATCAAGACATCTATAAGATTAAGAGAAATTCCAGTAAGTCACACTTTCACCTTTCTTTACTCA